TTTAGTACTGAATCAGAAATCGAAAAATATTTGTAAGACAACATTAAAATAGGCATAGAAACTTGTAAATAAACAAAAAAACTTGTAAAATATTTTATAAAATGAAATTGAAAACAAGCCCAAACAATACTTGTAAATTTTATTTAAAAATAGATTGATGAAATTGGAAGGATTAGAAGATAATTCAATAAAAGATTATTATTTTGTAAAATTTAAGATATTTATAAACATAAATATTTGATTTTGGCAAAAAAAAGGTTTTTAATATTTATTTTCAAAAATTCTTCAACTTTCTGCTAGATTGAGTTGTTACCATTTTAATTCAACATTATTCTGCAAGATTCTGCAAAAAAATCATAAAAATTTTCGCAAGATTCTGCAATTCTGCAAGATTCTTCTGTTACCATTTACACAAATTATAATTATTATTAGTTTTTTGAAATAAACATTATAAATTCTTTTCTATACGTTTTCAATCTACCTTTGTCTCTAAACCAAAACCGAAAGTCAAATCGGAATTCTTTTGAGATCATTGACTTACTGGATTGAACTGGTCACTGGATCAATAATTGCTAAATTTTTATTATTATTTTAAATAGAAGCAATAAACAAAATATGCATGTTTATTGCACCAGAAGCAAGAACAAAAATTAATATATCTTTTTTTTTTCCGTTAAAATATCATTTTCAAGTTTTCGTTGTCTTGTAATTATTGCAGCAGAAGAAAACAATAATGTACTGTCTTCAATTCAACATGATTAACATAAGATTTTTTAAATAAAGATTTTTGATGTACATATTTTTTCTTTTAAAATCTTAGACTGAAGTAAAAACTATTCTTTCAGAAATATTTGAACGACTTACGTTAACTTAAATAAAAATGTAATCTAATATAAGGAATAGTGGATCAATGGGAAAAAACACTTCTAAAACAGGTTCTTAGTTTCGACATCACGGCCAAACATATATTTAACGGATCTGAATATATGGATTCTTTTTTTTTTTTTCTTTTTTTTTTGAAACTTGTTTTTATTTTGGTTTTGGTGGTGTTGTAATCTTGATATAGGATCTTGAACTTGGATTGCTTCTAAAGAGGCCTGGATCATTGTTTGTGAGCGACTTATCCAAGACGAAGAACTTCTCGGATGAAGGATATGGATCTGTTCCAAGAGTTTACATAGTGTGCAAAGAAGACAAAGCCATTCCGGTAGAATACCAAAAATGGATGATTGATAATTTTCCAGTGAATTTAGTGATGGAAATGGAAGAAACGGATCATATGCCAATGTTCTGCAAACCTCAACAGCTATGTGACCACTTCCTCGAAATCATGGACAAATTCGCTTAAACGAGATCTTGATAAAAATAAAAATGCATGTATTGGATTTGATACAACAAGTGAGTTTCAGGTTTTCTTTTGCTTTATAATACAATCACAAGAATAAGTCATTTGCATCAAAACATTCGTTATATCCAAAATTATATTGAATGCACTACACTAATCGTTTTAATAAATTACATGTTCGAAAATTCTGTTTCTATTGTTTTTTTTTTAATCAATATATCTCCTATATATTGGGTCTAATTGGTTACGAATGTACTTTTAAATGTTTGGCTCTGGGATTTAGGTTCTGAATGGGGATAGTGCGGTGCGGAAGAGAAAGATGCGGTGCAAGACAATAAGTAACAAAAAG